TAAATAAGCAGCTGGAGTTCACAAAGACCTTCTTTTTACAAAATGGCTTCTCCTCCTGCGCTCCGCCTAATGAGCAACGCAGCCTTGGATTTTCAAAAGGCTGCCTTTCCCCGTGGTTACCAGCAGGCAGGGATGGACTTTAATATTCCAAACAGATGACTTTAAAGCCGTCCAGCAATTCCCTTTGAATTTGGAGGTTCCAAGCAGAGAAAGTGGCCTTGTGGGGGGGGGGGAGGATGAAAAACCCTTCAGATCCCACTAAAAGCAATTTTATTAAAGAGAAGGACTTATTTCTCTATATTTGTGGCTCCCTGCTGTTGCCATCCACACTGTAAAAGCCTTTCAACGAGGCCTTCTTTTCCCAGACCTTCCTAAAATTTACTTCCTTGGTTTTCTCAAAATGGTCCTCTTTAAAATTGAGCCCCATACCTCGGTCCACGCCTTCCGTCCTATTTTATTTCAGGTCATTTTTTATTTTTTATTTTTATTTTTAACATGTCTGGGGTCTGCTTACTGCTGTCTTAGTGCCCAAATTTGCAACTCATTATTGGAGACTTTATCAAATAGACTTGTGGCCAGAAAGGTTGTAAAATGGGGCAAAACCCGCTTAACGACTCTTCCTGAGCCACAGAAATTCTGGGCAACTACCTTTCTTTCTGAAACGGTTGCAAAAGGCAGGGAGATCCGTAACGTTTCCCCGTAAGTACAAACTCGGCTTTCGCCTCCCCGCAGGGTGTTCTCGGCCTACATCAAGGAAGTGGACGAGAAGCCGGCCAGCACACCTTGGGGCTCCAAAATGCCATTTGGGCAGCTGATGGCTGAATTCGGCGGCACCGGCAGTGGCGGCTGGGTCCATAGCGTCAGTTTTTCTGCCAGCGGGAACCGCCTCACCTGGGTCAGCCATGATAGCACCGTGTCCGTTGCAGACGCCTCGAAAAATATGATGTAAGTAACTGCTGGCAGGGGGTCAGGGGAAATGCCTTTCTGAATGCCTTCCGGTGTGGGATCCAGTTGTTTTGCCTGCCCATTGAGAGGGTCCCCCCAATTCTGAAGAAGAAGAAGTCCATTTAGCCTCCTGCATCCAGCTTACACCACAGAGAATAGCAATAATATTTAGGCTTATATACTGTATGGTCCCGTAGTGCTCTACTGTACTCGCTGGATGATTTATACCGTGTTAGGATATTGGCCCCCCAACAATCTGGGTCCTCATTTTACCAACCTCAGAAGGAGGGAAGGCTGAGTCTGCCCTGAGCTCTGTCAGGATCGAACTCCAAGGTGTGGGCAGAGTTGGCTTGCAATACTGTATTCTAACAGGAAGGAAGGAAGGAAGGAAGGAAGGAAGAAAGGAAGGAAGGAAGGAAGGAAGGAAGGAAGGAAGGAAGGAANTAAATAAGCAGCTGGAGTTCACAAAGACCTTCTTTTTACAAAATGGCTTCTCCTCCTGCGCTCCGCCTAATGAGCAACGCAGCCTTGGATTTTCAAAAGGCTGCCTTTCCCCGTGGTTACCAGCAGGCAGGGATGGACTTTAATATTCCAAACAGATGACTTTAAAGCCGTCCAGCAATTCCCTTTGAATTTGGAGGTTACAAGCAGAGAAAGTGGCCTTGTGTGGGGGGGGGGGGGAGGATGAAAAACCCTTCAGATCCCACTAAAAGCAATTTTATTAAAGCAAAGGACTTATTTCTGTATACTTGTGGCTCCCTGCTGTTGCCATCCACACTGTAAAAGCCTTTCAACGAGGCCTTCTTTTCCCAGACCTTCCTAAAATTTACTTCCTTGGTTTTCTCAAAATGGTCCTCTTTAAAATTGAGCCCCATACCTCGGTCCACGCCTTCCGTCCTATTTTATTTCAGGTCATTTTTTATTTTTATTTTTAACATGTCTGGGGTCTGCTTACTGCTGTCTTAGTGCCCAAATTTGCAACTCATTATCGGAGACTTTATCAAATAGACCTGTGGCCAGAAAGGTGGTAAAATGGGGCAAAACCCGCTTAACGACTGTCTTCCTGAGCCACAGAAATTCTGGGCAACTACCTTTCTTTCTGAAACGGTTGCAAACGGCAGGCAGATCCGTAACGTTTCACCGTAAGTACAAACTCAGTTTTCGCCTTCCCACAGGGTGTTCTCAGCCTACATCAAGGAAGTGGACGAGAAGCCGGCCAGCACACCTTGGGGCTCTAAAATGCCATTTGGGCAGCTGATGGCTGAATTCGGCGGCACCGGCAGTGGCGGCTGGGTCCATAGCGTCAGTTTTTCTGCCAGCGGGAACCGCCTTGCCTGGGTCAGCCACGATAGCACCGTGTCCGTTGCAGACGCCTCGAAAAATATGATGTAAGTAACTGCTGGCAGGGGTCAGGGGAAATGCCTTTCTGAATGCCTTCCGGTGCGGGATCCAGCTGTTTTGCCTGCCCATTGAGAGGGTCCCCCCAGTTCTGAAGAAGAAGAAGTCCATTTAGCCTCCTGCATCCAGCTTACACCACAGAGAATAGCAATAATATTTAGGCTTATATATGGTCCCGTAGTGCTCTACTGTACTCGCTGGATGATTTATACCGTGTTAGGATATTGGCCCCCCAACAATCTGGGTCCTCATTTTACCAACCTCAGAAGGAGGGAAGGCTGAGTCTGGCTTGAGCCCTGTCAGGATCGAACTCCAAGGTGTGGGCAGAGTTGGCTTGCAATACTGCATTCTAACAGGAAGGAAGGAAGGAAGGAAGGAAGGAAGGAAGGAAGGAAGGAAGGAAGGAAGGAAGGAAGGAAGGAAGGAATAGCACTTAGACTTATATACTGCTTCACAGTGCTTTACAGCCCTTTCTAAGCGGTTTACAGAGTCAGCATATTGTCCCCCAACAATCTGGGTCCTCATTTTACCAACCTGGGAAGGATGGAAGGCTGAGTCAAGCTTGAGCTTGTCAGGATTGAACTCCAGGCTGTGGGTAGAGTTTGCTTGCAATCCTGCACTTTTAACTACTGCGCCACCAGCACTCAGGAATTGGGGTCTGGGGTCTGCTGGATTCCTGGTTTGCAATTGGCCAGAAGCCGCACCCGAATAGACAAGGCGATCCTTTTCTTTTACAGTGCAGACAATGGGAAAGTTTTCATTGCGATGCTGCATTCTTAACAATCTGCCTTGTCTTTAGGCTCTCTCAACTGAAAACCGAGTTTCTCCCCTTGCTGAGCGTATCCTTTGTCTCGGAGAACAGCGTGGTGGCTGCCGTAAGTGTCTTGGCTTCGCTTGGGAAGCTCTGAGAGTTGCTGGGGGATTCTGGGAGCTGAAGTCCCCACATCTCCTGAGTGGGTGTCGGGCTTGAGAAAGGCCAATCCCAAGCAGGGATGCGCTGTTTCCTTCCAGGGCCACGATTGCTGCCCGATGCTTTTCAACTGTGACGACCGCGGCGCACTCAACTTTGTCTCCAAGCTCGACATTCCTAAGCAGAGCATTCAGCGCAACGTTTCCGCCATGGAGCGTTTCCGCAACATGGACAAGAGAGCCACTACGGAAGACCGCCACGCTACACTGGAGACGTTGCATCAGAACAGCATTACGTGAGTGACTGAAGGGTCTATCTTGACTATTGTGCAGATTGTTCTTTAGTCTAGCAAGAGCCCTGTCGATAGCAATAGCACTTAGACCAGGGGGGGTCTTCAAACCTGGCCCTTTTATGACTTGTGGACTTCAACTCCCAGAATTCCTCAGCCAGCCATGCTGGGAATTGAAGTCCACAAGTCATAAAAGGGCCAAGTTTGAAGACCCCTGACTTAGAGTGATGTACCGGCCCATAGTGCTTTGCAGCGTTCTCTGAGCAGCTTACACAGTGAGCATATAGTCCCCCCAAATTAAAACAGGTTTACCATTTCTTCTGAGTCTAATGCCAGTTCCATTCTCCTCCTCCTCCTCCTCCTTGCAGTCAAGTGTCTATTTATGAAGTGGACAAGCAAGATTGTCGCAAGTTTTGCACCACTGGTATCGACGGAGCGATGACCATCTGGGACTTCAAGGTAGGTTTGGCTGCCCAGCTTATCCTTGATGGATGATACCAGCCAGTCGTATGATTGTCATAATGTAGGCCAGCTCCTGTGTTAGCCATGTAACTGTAGAAGGAGAAGCAGAGACAGGGTGGAGTCAGGAGAGGAATCAGCCTAGAATGGTTACATTCCCACAAATGATCAAAATCCAGTCCCTCTTGAACTCCGTTAACTCTTACCTGGCTCCAGTTTAGCGCTGACTCGGTTCTTGTGTCTAAGTCATCTTAACTGGAACTTAACGTGTAGTCCCGATTCTTTGTGACAAACACTTGCAGACAATGGAGTTGTGCTTAATGCAGGGGTCTTCAAACTTGGCCCTTTTATGACTTGTGGACTTCAACTCCCAGAATTCCTCAGCCAGGCTTGAAGACCCCCGGCTTAATGACTGCTGCAGAAAGGGTCATAAAATAAATCACGGTCATATGGTGGCCAGCATGACTAAACAAGCATAATTCCAGGCTCAGTCACAGGTGGTGGGACTATTTATGCTGCATTCTAGATTCCCATAGAACCGTGGTTGGATTCGGTTGTCAGGATGAGTAACCTGCTTCATTTTTTTCCCCTCCTTTGTCTAGACATTAGAGTCTTCCATCCAGGGTCTACGGATAATGTAGAACGGATTCCTTGTCCTCTAGCAAGACAACCTGCTCTGAAGCCTGCACAGACTTGAAAAGACAGGGTGAAGATGGATCACTTTTTTTTTTTAAGCACTGAAAAAAAAATGACGACTTGGTGAAATATTTTTCCCCCCTATTCCTTCCCCTTCCCCCAAACTCTGGTGAAATGTATTGATCTGCAAATCAGCTGTGATCGTGGTATATATTTGGGTTTGGGTGGTTGTTGTCGTTATTGTTGTTGAATTGTCCTTGGTTGTTGTTTTTTTTCATTCCCTTCTTTACCAAAGCTGCTCCTTAAAATAGTTTATTGCAGGAAGTATGAAACACTAACTTAAAAGGGGGAGGTTCTATGTTCAGCTTGTCTGCTAGGAAATAAAATAAAATAAAATAAAATAAAAATATAAAAAAAAGCATCTACTGTGTCTCAGTTATTTTGGCCACGTCGTGCGGGGGAATTTACTGGAGAAAGCGATTCAGTTCGGAAGCGTTAGCGGTAAAAGGAAACCAGGCTGTCCAAGAACGCGGTGGGTAGACACCACTTAAGCCAGTGTTTCTCAACCTTGACAATTTTAAGGCATGTGGACTTCAACTCCCAGAATTCCACAGCCAGCAATGCTGGCTGTGGAATTCTGGGAGTTGAAGTCCACATGCCTTAAAATTGTCAAGGTTGAGAAACACTGACTTAAGCAGATACCCAGCCAGAGCACAGAAAAACTCTTTAAGAAGTACAGGTAGTCCTCGACTTTACGGCCACAACTCTGAACCCAGGATTTATTTTGTGAAGGGAGACATTGGTGGAGTAAGTTTTGCCCCCTTTTATGAACTTTCTCGTCACCGTTCTTAAGTGGATCACTGCAGCTGGGTAAGTTAGTAACCCGGTTGTTAAGTGAAATCTAGCTTCCCCACTGACTTTGCTGGTCAGGAGGTCGCAAAAGGGGATCGCGTGACCCCGGGACACCGCAAAGGTCATCACTATGAACCAGTTGCCAATCATCTGAATTTTGAGCATGTGATCCTGAGGATGTTACAAAAGCCGTAACTGAAAAACAGCCATAAGTCAATGTTTTTCAGCGCCGTTGTAACTTTGAACGGTCACTAAACGAAGTTGTAAGTTGAGGACTACCTGTAATGCAAGATGGGAAGAGACCTGGCCCATAGATCTGGTCAAGGGTCAGACACAACTCAATGGGTGGCATCAGCGGCATCAACCTGGAGAACAAAGCCTGACAAAAACGACTCCGATCATAACCTTCGACTCCCATCCTCTGTCTTGTGCTTCTCCTTTTAACTTCTTCTTAAAAAGCCCTTTGTATTCTAATGGGGATCAAGGGATCCTTTTTCTGCCGTTCTAATGAAAATCACACCCACGTGCACGCGCGCACACATTCACAAACCAACTCTCTAAGTGTGTCACGTTTTGGGTGTTAGGGAGAAGTAACAGGTTGACCTATGCAGAGTATGAAATTTGGAGATTTAAAAGGTCGGCAGAACGGTTGCAGGAACTGGGTCTGGCCAGTCCAGAGAAAAGAAGGAGTAGGGGAAACACGATAGCAGTATTCCAGTATTTGAGGGGCTGCCACAAAGAAGATGTGTGTGTGTGTGTGTGTGTCAACTTCTTTCCCAAAGCACCAGAAGGCAAGACAAGAAACAATGGAAACTACTCAAGGAGAGAAGAATTAAGGAGAAACTTCCAAACAGTGAGGACAATCAACCAGTGGAACAAGTGGCCTCCAGAAGTTGTGGGTGCTCCATCACTGGAGGTTTTCAAGAAGAGACTGGACAGCCACTTGTCGGAACTGGTCTAGGGTCTCCTGCTTGAGCAGGGGGTTGGGCTAGAACAGGGGTAGGCAACCTTGGCTCTTTTATGACTCATGGACTTCAACTCCCAGAATTCCTGAGCCAGCCACGCTGAGGGGAAAGGGAGAGGTTTCCAAGCTGAGCCATGCTGGCTCAGGAATTCTGGGAGTTGAAGTCCCCGAGTCATAAAAGACCCAAGGTTGCCTACCCCTGGGCTAGAAGATCTCCAAGTTCCTTTCCAGTTCTATGTCTTCAGTTGAGGAAAATCAGCACATCCCTCTGTTCTAGACTCAACTTATTGCTGGCGTTTCTTTACTCTCTTTCACCCTTCTGTCCCCACCCCACTCATGGGTGACGCAAGGATTTATTTCCGGCTCGAAGGGCTGCAGCGGAGACCTCAGATTAGGTCACGCTTTTCCCCTTTGCAATGTGAGGCTGTGCCATTAAGCCATCCTTATAACAACAACCCTGTGCGGTGGGCTGGGCTGAGGGAGAGCGATTGGTCCAAAGTCACCCAGCTGGCTTTTATTTATTTATTTATTTATTTATTTATTTATTTATTTATTTATTTAAATTTATATACCGCCCTATCTCCCTTACGGGACTCAGGGCGGTGAACAGGCGATAATAAAAATCACAATAAATATTAAATAAAAGGCCTGCTCTAAAATACCCCCCCTGTGCCTCAGGCGGGACTAGAACCCCACCACCTCCTGGTGGCGGCCCAGAGTTACCCAGCTGACTTTCTCGCTTTACGGCGGGACTAGATGATTGGCCCAAAAACTCACCCAAGCGCCTCGCCTGCCTAAAGTGGGAACTGGAACTCACAGCCTCCTGGTTTCTAGCCGGTTGCCCTTCATCCCTTAGACCAGACTAGCTTTCCGAAACATTTCATTTTAAAAATGATTTTTGCAGCCCTACCTGCCTCGTGAAGCCCACCGCTTCCTGCATGTTTGAAGCTGCAAGTTTGCTCCTTCTTCACTGCACAGAAGGCATCAGACACACACAGACACACACACAGAGAGACAGAGAGAGAATTTCCCAAGCCCCAAGCAAGGAAGTGGTTAAGTTTCTCGCCGAGAGGGAAGTCTGACTTATAAGCCGTGCCTCTAAAACTTCTTCATTTCCTCCTGAGCTGGCTCCGCAGAGGGCTGTTCATGTTGACTGGCCAGAGTCCGTGAACAGCCGTTCTTCCTCCTCCTCTTCTCAACTGGAAGAAGACCTCCTTGAGATCTTCCAGCTCTTCCATCCAAGGTCGGTCCCTGAGATGCTCTTTAAGAAAAGAAGAGGGTCTCTCTCCGTTGTCTTCTCCTCTCTTGCTAACTTCCTGGCAAAGGCATTTCTCTCTGGAGGGATGGCTGAGGTCCAGCTTTGGGTGTGGAAAACTGGTTTGACTCTCCTTTCTCTCCACCCCACTTTCCTGCCCCATCCACCTCCTCCTCCTCCTCCTCCTCCTCTTCTCCACTTGGACGTCATTTCTTTTCCATTTCTTCTGGCAACACTTTCAGGAAGTTCTTTTATTTGTTTTTCCCACCCTTTCCACCCACTGAGCTTTCTCACCAGGGTGTGGTTGGCTGCCCTTTGTGTATTCAATGGGGAGAACTCCTCAAAAGCCCAACATTGAGCTTCCTCTGAATAATTGTCTGCAGGTTAAGCCACATTTCTCCTCTGAAGTGTGCTTAGATCTTCAGTGAGAACCTTTGGGGCGTTCTTTCAACAGGTAGAGTGAGGTATTGTTTGTCCTTTTTTAAATATATATATATAGAGAGAGAAAGGGGTCTGGTGAGTTGGGCAGAAGTTTTTGGATTCAGAGTTCACCCGAGCTTTAGGACACTCGTGGGAGATGCAAGGCAAAATTATATATATATATTTCATCCAAGGAAGCAGACTGTTATTTTTAGATATATTTTTTCCCTTGCAGGGTCCTGCAAGATTACCAAGTAGATTTTAGCTATTTGGAACTAGTGAGAAAGAGCTGAATTCTTCTTTATCCTGTGTGCATGTTAGAGTTTGGAATTGGCTACGGGTTAAAAAATTCAGATGAAGTGACTGTCTCGTTTACTGAGCCTTAAATCTCAGCAGTTTCTCTGAGCTAATTGATAATCTGAGGCTCCTATGCTACCTTCCCATGCAGATAAGAAATATGGTTAGAAGTGGCGAGTAACCTCAGAGGGATGAATAATCCATCATCCCCAGCCCTCCTTTTTACGTCCCTCCCACCTACCCACCCATCACCATTCAACCAATCCTAACTGACCTTTACGCTATCATGTTCAGGCATGAAAAAAAAAACAGAGGTAAGTTCATAAATAGGCTTAATAAAAACAAATAAACCAGAAAGAAACAGACCAAAAAATAAAAAAAAAAACCAGGGAAGGCATTTTATTTATTTATTTATTTATTTTTCATAATTTATATGCCGCCCTTCTCCCCACGGGACTCAGGGCGGCTCACAGCATATTAAAATAACACAAAAACCTTGGCTTCCTTCCATTTTCACCCTTGCTACCAAATGTGAGTTCTCAGCCATCAAAAGATTGGCTTTCTGTCTCTCTGTGGCTGAAAGGCAAACGAGGGGGGGAAAAAAGACAGGAAAACGGAAATATTTCTTAACCATGACTAATTTGGCAATACCATATAAGGCCAAAAGCAGCCTTGGAGAGGAAGAGCCGAGACGGATGTCGACATTGAATTTCCCCATGTGGCTCAGCCTGATGGTTTTTAATTCTGCTTTTTCACAAAAGCAGCCAAGTAGCTCGACCAACGCATTTTGCAGAATAATCACAGACAGGAGAAGCACCCAGCTATAGAGAAGCACCCCAAAACAGAGATAAAAGACACCACGCCCGATCAGTGTGGTTGGTCTCCTTTTTCTGAGAGCCACCAATGACTCAGATCTTCAAGGCAACAACAAAGTCATCACAGCTTGTTTGTGGACAGGCGGAGGTCAGAAACAGCACAGCTTTTAAACTGTGCAAATCAGTGATATCCCGGCTAGGAGTCGGTGGAATTCAAGGGAGGTTGGGCTTCGTTTGTGGCTACGTAGAGCTTCTAGGCTGGTGCCTCTTTTGACTCTGCCCCCAAGGTTCTGCTACTCCTTCCCCTACATTCTTCCAGCTAGCCTCCTCCATTCACGAGGAAAGCTAAAGCTTTCTAAATTTCTAAAGCTAAGCTGTTTTTCCTTCTGGGCAGGTTAAAAAAGCCATGGCTTATCAAAGCTTCCTGCTGGAACCCATCACCTGTCACGCCTGGAACAAAGACCGAAGCCGTAAGTCTACCTTTTTCAAAGGGCTGCCAGATCCCCAGAGATTCAGCTCCTGAATGCAACAATTGTGCCAATTAACAATTCTTAACCTTATAGGAGAAATAACAACAACAACAACAACAATAATAATAAAGTTGGGACCTTAGAGGCCATCTAGCCCACATGAATCTATGGAGATTCTAGAAGTCATCTGGTCCATCCATGTGGATCCATGGGGGTTTTAGAAGTCATCTAGCCTATCCATGTGGATCCGTGGGGGGTCCTAGAAGTCATCTAGACCATCCACATGGTTATATAGGGGTCCTAGAAGTCATTTAGGTCATCCACGTGGATCCATGGGGGTCCTAGAAGTCATCTAGCCTATCCATGTGGATCCGTGGGGGTCCTAGATGTCATATAGCCCATCCACGGGGATCCATGGGGGTTATAGAAGTCATCTAGCCTATCCATGTGGATCCGTGGGGGTCCTAGAAGTCATCTAGACCATCCACATGGATATGTAGGGGTCCTAGAAGTCATCTAGGTCATCCACGTGGATCCATGGGGGTCCTAGAAGTCATCTAGCCTATCCATGTGGATCTGTGGGGGTCCTAGAAGTCATCTAGACCATCCACGGGGATCCATGGGGGTCCTAGAAGTCATCTAGCCTATCCATGTGGATCCGTGGGGGTCCTAGAAGTCATCTAGCCCATCCACGGGGATCCCTGGGGGTTCTAGAAGTCATCTTCTAGCCCATCCATCCGTATATCCACGTAAGATCTGCAAGCGCAGGATCCCTCACAAGGGTCACAGGGAGGGAGAGGCATTCTTTGTGCCGCAGCGGTTAGAAAGCCTATCCTGTCTTCCGCCCACTTCCTCTTCCCTTGGAATGTCCACCCCTTTCATTCCACATCGACTCCCTGAGAAGGAAAACAAGACTGCTTTCTCTCCTATGTAGCTGAATCGGGGATATTCCAGCCATCGGATCATAAAGAGCCATTGATCTGCAAATGCTTTTTTTGTTTTTTGGAGTGTTTCTTTTTTGTGCTGTTGAAAAAAACAACACCAAGACCTAATGTTAGGACAAAGCCAAGTTTTTACGGCTTCCCTGGTTTTTTTGTCTGTTTCTTTCTGGTTTGTTTGCTTCAGTGGTTTGATAAAATGGGCCAGGAGGTCTTGATGTTGACGCGTTCCCCGAGCCGGTTTCGCAGTCCTGGCTTATCTTCTTTCCCACAGAAATTGCCATCTCCCCCAACAATCACGAAGTCCACATCTACAAGAAAAACGGTGCCAAGTGGGACAAGATCCATGAGTTGAAGGAACACAACGGACACGTGACAGGTGAGGACAACTAAGTCCCCCTAGCTGGAAGGAGTTGAGGGAAAGAAGGATGCTCCTTCCAGCACTGGACACCTTGCCCAATTAGATCTTCTGGAAGTGGTAGTCACCCACCTGCAGGGGATTAGAGCAAAAGTGAGAGGTCAATAAGATATTTAAATCAGAAGAGAACACATCTTTTTGGAACCCCTTGTCCCATCCCTTTTTTAATGGCCACAAAGTAGACCACCACAACCCAACCCACAGACCCTGAAGCCAGTAGGACAAAACCGTGAAGAATAACACCCACCCCTGGCTTCAACTGATCTCCTTGACAGGCATTGACTGGGCCCCCGACAGCAACCGGATTGTGAGCTGCGGGACAGACCGCAACGCCTACGTCTGGACCCTGAAGAACGACGTTTGGAAGCCCAACTTAGTCATCCTCCGGATCAACCGCGCTGCCTGTTGTGTGAAGTGGTCCCCGAATGAGAACAAGTTTGCTGTGGGCAGCGGCTCCCGGAGGATCTCCATCTGCTACTTTGAGCAAGAAAACGATTGGTGCATCTTGGCAAATGCAAGGGAGGCGGGCGGTGTGGGGTTCTTCAAATGCAACCAATATGAGCAAAACTGTTGGGAGATGAATCTACGAACCAAGGTGAACCAGGCTGAGAACTTCCCCTTCCCTCTCTGACTTCTCCCAGGTGGGTCTGTAAGCACATCAAGAAGCCAATTCGATCAACCATACTCTGCCTGGACTGGCACCCCAACAATGTCCTCCTGGCAGCGGGATCCTGCGACTTCAAGTGCCGGTAAGCCTTTTGGCTTGGCTCATTTTCCAATTTAGCCGATGAACGGTTTCAACCTTCCCATCTGGGTGGAATTATGAAAGCAGGGTGATGGGGGTGCTGTTAGACAGTGATCGTTTTTACGTGACCGTGTCTGATGGTGTGCCGTCAAGGAGGTGTTCGTCGCAAATTTTTATCGGTTTATCCAAACATAAAAGACAGAAATATGGAGAAAAATGAAAACAATAGGCAAGCAGAGGAGGCGAAGGAGAAGAGGGAAAAAAATGTAAGGGAAAAAAGAAAAGAAAAAAGGAGCATTGGCTCCCAACTCTTTTTAGTGTAGTAGAATAAGGTAATTCCAAGCTCAGCGTCTTACTTCTACATAGTAATATGTTCTCGTCATCTCTGTAACAACAAACCTATCTAATTAGTAAAGCCCCAAATCGAAGTTTCATTTTCCCCATCTCAAGCACAACATTCAAAGGGGTTTCCAAGGAGAAACAAAATGAATTATATCCTTTTCTTGAATCAAAGCAGTCCGTTTAGCTATCTCTGCTAACTCAAGTCAATTTTTTCAGCCTTTCGTCCATTCCATTTCTGTGCATAGAGGATTCTTGCTACTGTCAATATGTAGAACATCAAAGTTCCAATTTTGTTTTTTCAAGTTCTTTGTCCATTACACCCAGCGGAAAAGTCTCTGGTTTTATAGGTGTGGATTGTTGGAGACTACTCTAGATAATGTTCACCAGGACAATTCTGTCCCACATGATTAGGGTAGATGTAATATAAATATGTAATTAAGTCTTCTTCTCCACCTGTTGCACGCTGGTTGATGCGATGGCGGATCTGGGTGAAATAGCTCCTTCTCTGTTGTGTGTTGGAGAGTCAGGCACGTTCTTTCCCTCCTTACTCCATCATCTGCTTTATTTTCCTCCTTTCCTCTCCAGGATTTTCTCGGCCTACATTAAAGAGGTGGAAGAGCGGCCAGCCCCTACTCCTTGGGGATCCAAGATGACATTTGGAGAGCTCATGTTTGAGTCGAAGAGTAGTTACAGCTGGGTCCACAGCATCTGCTTTTCAGAGAGTGGCAACCGTTTAGCCTGGGTGGGCCATGACAGCACTATCTGTCTGGCGGATGCCAACAAGAAAATGGCGTAAGTAGGATGGGTTGAGAATGTGGGGAAGAGATCTGAGGGAGGTTGAGGGATTGTCACGGGAAGAAGGAAGAACCTTGAGAAACAGGAGGAAGAAGGACAACAAAGATGATCAGGGGACTGGGGGCTAAATCATATAAGGAACGGTTGCTAGAATTGGGTATGTCTAGTTTAACGAAGAGAAGGACGAGGGGGGACATGATAGCAGTCTTCCAATATCTGAGGGGTTGCCCCAAAGAAAGAGGGAATCAACGTATTCTCCAAAGCCCCTGAAGGCAGGACAAGAAGCAACGGATGGAAACTAACCAAGGAGAGAAGCAACCTAGAACTAAGGAGAAACTTCCTGACAGTTAGAACAATTAACCAGTGGAACAACCTGCCTCCAGAAGCTGTGAATGCTCCAACGCTGCAAGTGTTTAAGAAGAGGCTGGACAGCCATTTGTCTGAAATGGTATAGGGTTTCCTGCCTGAGCAGGGGATTGGACTAGAAGACCTCCAAGGTCCCTTCCAACTCTGCTATTCTGTTAAGAATCACAATTAGAACAATAGTCGGATAAGAGAAAGCTGGGACAGAAATGTAATTTGAGACAGCATTGGAAGAATCTTTTATTAAAACCTTATATTTTTAAAGTTGCATTAGCTTGCATGATTTTTTGCTCTATGAGTTTGGTCTGTCTTGGAGAACTGACGTGGGTGGATCAAAAAAAGTCACACGGATGATGTAGAGTTTGGAACATTGGATGTGTGGTGCTTTATTTGAAATCAGTCAATCCCTGACTGGAGTTTTCACATTCATGTTTGAAACGAATATGAAGGATCGGTCTGAAGCTTTGTTTTTCTTCTCAGGGTAGCCTGCCTTTCTACGGAGACTCTGCCCCTCCTGGCTGTGACCTTCATCACCGAGAACAGTCTTGTGGCTGCCGTAAGTCATGCGGTTTCTCCTTTATTGGGTGATTTTCCCACAAAAGATTTTCACGTAGAGCAATGTGTCCCTCATTTGGGGAAATGGCTAAGCGATCGTCCTCACTATGTGGATAATGTCATTTTAAGGTTTAGCCAGTAGATGGCACCATACCGCTTAGGAATGGATCTGCAAAAGGTACAGTCCAGTAAAGGAGAATATTTATAATAGGCGATCCTTGGTGGTCTCTGAGATTGGATGTTTTCTTGCAGACGTTTCATTACCCAACTAGGTAACATCATCAGTGCTGGAATGGAGTGGGAGAGGAGGGGGGGGGGACTGTGGGGTCCTTGATGTTCTCTGAGCTGGGTTGTTTTCTTGCAGACTTTTCATGACCCAAACTAGATAACCTCATCTGATAGAATATGTCCTCTTCTGTCTTTCTTGAAAAGCATCCAGCATGCTCCATCTCGCCTCTTTCCACAGATTATGAAATTTAGAGCACAATGTAATCCTTTCCCATCTGTACTACACATTCTTTATCCCCAGGAACGACACATTTGGGAGTTGTGGACCAGCCACATCTGAAGGACACCGATTCGGGGGGGTAGCTCTACCCAACCATCAGCTGTAACACGTGAACTTCCTCGCCATCGTCTTCTGAGATACGTTCTTGACTTCTCTTTTTCCAGGGACATGACTGTTACCCAATGCTGTTCGCGTACGACGAACAGCAGGGTGCGCTGAGCTACGGAGGGAAAATGGACATCCCCAAACAGAGTTCCCAGCGGGGGCTCACAGCTAGGGAGCGCTTTCAAAACCTGGACAAGAAAGCTAGCTCTGATACCAACAAGGCTTCTCTGGACACAGTCCACAAGAACAGCATCAGGCAAGTCCGCTTTAAAACTCCTCTTTCCTTTATAACAGGGGGGTCTCCAAACCTGGCAAGTTTGAAGACGTTGTGGACTTCAACTCCCAGAATTCGCTCAGCCAGCAGAAGTCCACAAGTCTTAAAGCTGCCAAGTTTGGAGACCGCTTTATAAGATATGGATGGGTTGACCAAATTGGCGTCAATTCTTAGCAACTACGTAGATTTTCTGCAAGAGGATCTGTGCCCAACCTGATCCTTCCGCTCTTCCAACGATGAAGCATTGACCCTGTCCACTTTGCTGCTGTTTATCTTATTTCCCTTCTTTCTTCCATCTTTTTGTGGCATTCTAGTTTTCTCAGAAGATACAGACCTATCTTCTAAGTTCATGATCTGATCAGGGGGCTTCAAGCCACCTTCATTCAAACTGAGAAAACCACTTCAAACTGCTTTGAGAAGCTTTTCTTTTAAAAAAAGCTCGTCTCCTTTTACCGCTGAGCCCTGGTTCCATCTTCCTTAAAACGTCCTGAAGCCAAATTCAACATCCTTGATCAGCTTAGTGAATTTTGCAATATTTCTGCTGGAGGTAGACCTTTTTCTGTTATTGCTGTGCTTTTAGGAATCAGGAAACTGTATTAAAAACTTGAAAGCCCAAGCAGAATTAACTTGAGAGGGAGGGGGGCGGGATTCTATGACTTAGACTGGACCAGAACTTTGCCATCTCCACCATCTAAAAATTGTGAAATTAAAAATCTCGTGTTCTAACTTCCGAGAATGAGTCGGGTTGGTGGTAGAACGTGATGTGCAAGGATCCATGGTCAATCTCTGACATCTCCAAGATGACGACTTTAGGAAATGTTGGGGTTTTTATTCCCCAAAAGCTCCTTTGGACTCTCCCAGTCCTTCAATCACAATTCCCAACGACTGCGGCATCAGTGTTGGACTCAATTCTTATGCAACTAAGAAGTCCACTTTCTGAAGAGCTGGACTACTTCCTGTTCCTGGATCCACCAACCACGGATGATTGTTGCCCATCACTATCCAGTTTGTAGGGTTTTCTGCTCCAGTTGAGAAGACTCAACCCAGGGATTCTTCTCTTTTCTCTTCCAGCCAAATCTCTGTGGTTGCTGGCGGGAAGGGCAACTGCTCCAAATTCTGTACCACCGGAATGGATGGCGGCATGAGCATATGGGATGTCAAGGTAAGCAGCAAGGGCTGAAGGAGGCTTCCCCGTGCCATCCAGGTGGAATTGATACAGAGGAACAAGGAATGTTAGAATAGAATAATAGAGATGGAAGGCACTTTGGAGGTCTTGTAGTCCAGCCCCCCCTGCTCAAGCAGGAAACCCTATACAAATGTTTCTCCAGTCTCTTCTTAAAAACTTCCAGTGTTGGAGACTTCACAGCTTCTGGAGGCAGGTTGTTCCACTGGTTAATTGTTTTAACTGTCAGGAAGTTTCTCCTTAGTTCCAGGTTGCTTCTCTCCTTGATTAGTTTCTATCTGTTGCTTCTTGTCCTGCCTTCAGGTGCTTTGGAGAATGGCTTGACTCCCTCTTCTTTGGGGCAGCCCCTGAGATATTGGGACACTGCTATCACGTCACCCCTGGTCCTTCTCTTCACGTTGAGTTTAGACATTTTAATGCTTAAATGTGAAGTTGGCCTGCTGCAAAAAAAACCCCCCAAATATCAAAAACAGAGCATCTGGCTCCAGCATCATCTGTCTTTCTAAGATCCCAGAAGCATTCTTAAAAATTCAAAATCCTGGTTAGCTGCAATGCAGGGCTTGTTTTAGATCAGGGTTTCTCAACTGGGGCTTTAATGGTTCACTTTGTTTCTTCACGTTGCAAGAAGCAAAACCTATCCTCCCGCTAAAAAAAAACAACACAAAAATTAGGGTTCAGTGGAAATTTGGAAGAAAATCAAGGCAGGAAAGGGAATTGAGTTTTCAGGGGGAAACAGAAGACAAGAAGTTTTTTTTCACTCCATGTTTTTACTTCCCACTTGAGGCAAAGAAAAGGGAGAAAAAAAAACCCAAGATGTTAAGAGATTTATAGAAATGTGAATCCAGGGTGAAATCACCCTGGATCCTGATGGATCCATTTCTGACCCTGAGCAAATAGCTACCGGATTGAAAGCCTGTTCCTTTTGTGTTTTCAGACCTTGGAGGCTGCGATGAAAGGACTTCGCATCAAATAAGCGAATAAGCAAATTCCTGCCTGCCAAGAAAATCAATCAAGGCGTTAGTCCATTCCTGCTTTGGAGAATCTTTGAAAGTCAATCCCAGATGCTACAAACTCAGCTTTTTTTTTGAAGCCTCCTGGGCAGGAACCCAGAGCGGTTAAAAATAAAATAAAAATACCTGCAATTAAAAACAAACTCTAAAATCTGAGTCTGTCATGGTTTGGGGTCTTTTTTTTTTTTTCTCCTGCAGTCAAGCCTGCAGTCAGAATTTACAGGTAGTCCTCAACTTACATCCACAACGGAGCCCAACATTGTTGATCTGCCTTCCCCATTGGCTTTGCTTGTCAGAAGGCTGCAAAAGGGGGGGTCACGTGACTCCGGGGGACACTGCAACCGTCACAAGTACATGCCAGTTGCTAAGCATCTGAATTTGGATCACGTGACCCTGGGGAGACTACAACGGCCCTAAGGGTGAAAAACAGGCCTAAATCACTTTTTTTCAAGCACCGTTGTAACTCTGAACAGTCACTAAATGAACTAAGTCGAGGATGACTTATACTGCCTCACCTCTGACCCCCATTAGCAGGATTTCAGGGGGACCCTGGGAAGTGAAGTCTGTGCGGCTTGGAGGACCCCCGCCCCCCCCCAGATTGAGGTTATCCGCCCTGTGGAAAACGGGACTTAAAAACCATTTCTCAGGTGACGTTCCAACGCCGTCCTGAGGGGGTTAAAGCCACTAGACCAGACCGTTACGATAATTTAAACTTTATTCAGCCAAATATACAGGTTTCTTTCTTTTTTTTTTTTCCCCCCCGTCTCGCCTGCCTCTATTCCAGAAAGATGCACAATCCCCAAGATGCGTTCTCTGGTTTTCAATTTTGCCCAGGTTATTTAAAAAGGAAAAAAAAAAAGTAGTCTTTATTGACTCCCAGAGAAGAAGGAAATGAAAAGAAAAAGACGGCTTTAAAAATAAAATAAAATAAAATAACAACAGGGTGGAAAACAGAAAACTAAATAGCCAGAGGGCTGGAGCTAAGGATTCCAACCCCCCCCCCCCAATTGTTCATTTCCCTGGACTCTTCTGCAGTCCAGGCTCATGCCAAAGCACACTGCGTCCCCCCCCCCCAATATATATTTTTTGGAAATGCATCTACAGGGGTCCAAGCTAGTCCTCCCCCCTCCCTGCCTAGTTTCCTGAAAGCTAGCTGAAGCCATCCGCCCCTCCCCAGCAAATCCTCCGCCTCCGTTTGCTTCCCACCCGAAATCAAAACACGTCAAACCGTTCAGCCGGCGGCGGTTTTTTCCCCCCCCCTTTCCTGAAAACGGTCACTTTAATGCAACCGTTGGCGTTCTCACGACTCTACACCAAAGGTTGAGAGATCCCGGTTGTCCTGCCCTCCCGTTGCTTTCCCTCCCCTCCCTCGCCCGCGTGCCCACCCACCCCGTCCCCCCCCCAAAAAAATAACCCCTTGGAATTTCTGTGCCCAGATGAAGACAAACGCGGAGCCGTCAGTTTCTGTTCAGAGGTGACGACGGTGAGGCCGCCATCGCTGCGGCTGCCCCTCCCCCTTCCTGCAGCCACTCTGGGAAAGGACGCTGCAGCGAGTCCAAAGGGTGCCAGGCCGGGCACAGTCCAGGGATTTCCCTCCTCTTTGGGTGGCCGGCCTTTTACTTGTTGAGGGACAGCGACTGCATCCGCTTGCCTGTCAGGGCTGCATCGTCTTTAGCTGGGGAGGGAAGCGAGAAGACAGAACAGCTGAATCCTCCCTTCTCATTCCCATCTAGTTCAGCGGTTCTCAACCTTTTTAATGCCGCTGTCAACGCTGCAAATACTGTATATTCTTGCTTTGACAACATGCAGAGCTGTCTGGCATTTTTATAGTTAAACCAGGCAGAAGGGGAAAAGAAACAGGAAGTAAATCACATCTTCCAAGTTGATTGGAAGATGTGAACCATGACCCCAAAGAAAGGTGGGAGGGAAATGCTTAGAATTACATGCATAGCGGAAAAGAAGCCAGTCCTAAGCATTCCCTCCATGTTGTGCTGATGTATCTGTAACATTAATAAATGCTTTTAGGAGAAAATATGCCTGAAAGTCCTTTTTAGTGTTTCGTTGATCAGACATATGACAGCCGCGACCCCCAACCGGTCGTAAGTCGAGGACTTTCCCTGCCCGGGAGCGCCGTGCATGCGTGGCTCTGCCCCCTGCGCCGGCCGAGGCGTAGCTGGCAAGCGGCAGAGACAGAGCAGGCCGACCACCAGCTGGCCCAGCCCAAGGGAGGTAAGGCACCCGCTGGAAAAGGGAAAAAAAAAATGGCGGACAGCCTTGCTTGGCGACCCCCGTGAAATGGTCGATCGGCCCCAAATGGGGTCGCGACCCATAGGTTGAGAACTGCTGATCTAGTTCAGCGGTTCTCAACCTGTGGGTCGCAACCCCTTTGGGGCGGTGGTGTCGAACGATCCTTTCACAGGGGTCGCCTAAGACCATCGAAAAACACATATTTCCAATGGTTTTAGGAACCGAGACACCGCTCCTCTATCCGTCTCCGCACGGCTTCGAGCTTGGGGCCGTTGCAGCGCCGGATTCGTTTCCGTCGAGCATCTCCTAAGGGAGGCCGCGCTGCTTCGCGGCCCTTTCCGCGGAGGAGGCTGAACTAAGCTCTGCTGGCGCTGTCGCCCTCTTGGCTCTCTCTATCTCTCTCCCCGCCTGGGCGCTTCTCCAACCAGGCTGGGCGGAGCGGCCTTCCTGCCCCCCCTCCCCGGCCAGCTGGAGCCGGGCAGGCCGGCGACCTTCGGAAGTGAGGCGAGGACAGGCGAGGCGCGCTGAGCCCCAGGCGCAGCGGGTGAGTGGGCGGCGTCGGTGCGTGCTTGGAGAGCCCTTAGGGTTGGGGGTCACCGCAACATGAGGAACTGTATTAAAGAGTCGCGGCATTAGGAAGGTTGAGAACCGCTGATCTCGTTCCTTCCTTCCTCCCCTCCCTCCCTCATTTCCATCTCCTTTAGCCTCCACCAAATTCCCCCCCCACACACACACACCTCTTCTCTCCTCTTCCTTCTTCTTGGCTGCCTCTTCCCTCTGTTTCCGGATAATGGCTAGCCGGGCGAGGTCGGCCTTTGCCTGTTCCGTTTTCCCCGCCAGGTGCATCTTCATGTACCTTTCCTTGGCTTTCTGCTTTTCAATCTCTTCTCTGCAAAGGGGGGGAGGGGGAGGGAGGGGGAGGAGGAAGAATTAACACAACATCCAGGTAAACACGGTGCCTTGGGGAACAGCTGGCCCAGCTGGACACGGCAGGTTCAACAGAGGGAACCAAATAGCTCGCATTTCAGCCCTGCTGCTTGGCTACAGAGCAAATTTTAAAGCAGCAGGAGCGGGTGTGTATGTGTGTGTGTATGTGTGTGTGTGTGTGTGTAGAAAAATACAGGGAATCCTCAACTTACGACAGCTCATGTAGTGAACGTCCAAGGTTCCCATTGAAAAAAGTGACGCATGACCCCTTTTCACTGTCACGACCTTTGCAGCATCCTCTGTAATCACGCGATCCAAAATTCAGACGCTTGGCCACCGCTTCATACTTATGACCATGGAGGTCACGGGATCCCCTTTTGCGACCGTTGGACCAGCCAGGTCAACGGGGATGCCTGATTCACTCAACAACCGGGTTACTAACTTAGGAACCGCAGGGGTTCGCTTAGCGACCGTGGTGCGAAAGGTCGTAAAACGGGGCAAAACCCGCGTGACGAATGTCTCGCTTAACAACAGAAATTTTTCGGGCTCCCTGGTGGCCGTAAGTCAAGGACTGCCGGTGCATGACCGCAAGGCTCCCTACAGGCTACGTTTCGCTTCCAAGTCAAGGTAGTGGGTTTTTTTTTTTTTTAGCCCTGCCACTTTCGAAGGCGAGGACTTCAACTCCCAGAATCCCCCATGCAGCTCTGCTGCAGCCGAGGTTTGACAAAGGTGGATGTGAAGAATGAAACCAGAGAGTGCAATTTGTGCTGCCCTGTTTCCCTGTTTTCCAAGAGATTTTTAAAGAAACTCATCATCCAAATCGCCTTCCCAAACCTTTGGCTAATATCCTGGAGGTCCTGGAAAGAGGCCGGGGCAAGGCCAGGACTGCCCCCCACCCACCCACCCACCCCTGAGAGGGGAAGGAGATGGCTTACCGTTCTCTCCGCGACAATTCCCGCGGGCTCTCCATATCGAGCTGAGTAACCTTCTTAGCGGTTGGCACCGCGCGGTTGGGATTTTCAATGTCGATCATGCCTTCCACTCCTTTGTGCTTTGGCTGGAAGGGGAAGGCGCAAGAAAAGAGCCGGTTGGAACCTCTTTCTGGGAGGTGGTTGTGGGATGGAGGAGGGGGAGGGGGAGGAAAGAGGTGTGGCCCGGGGATAAGAGAGGTCATGGTGGGCAGCTGCGTAGCGGGGAAAGAAAGGAAAGATGGATGGAAAGGGGCGGAAGGGAAGGACAGGAAGAAAGAAGGAAGGGGAGGAAGGGAAAGAGAGGGAGGAAGGAAGAAGGGGAGGAAGGGGAGGGAAGGAAAGGGAAGAGGAAGAAGAGAAGGGGAGGGAGGAAGAAAGAAGGGAAGGAGAAGAGAGGAAGAAGGGGAAGAAGGGGAAGAAGGGAAGGAAGAAGGAAGGGAAGGAGAGGAAGGAAGAAGGAAGGAGAAAGGGGAGGAAGGAAAAAGAAGAGAAGGGAAGGAAGGGAAGGAGAGGAAGGGAAGGGAAGGAAGGGAAGGAGAGGAAGGGAAGGGGAGGAAGGGAAGGAGAGGGAAGGGAAGAGGAGGAAGACAAGGGGAGAGAGGAAGAAAGAAGGAAGGAAGGAAGGGAAGGAGAGGAAGGGAAGAAGGGGAAGAGAGGAGAGGAAGAAGGAAGGGAAGGAAGAAGGGAGGAAGGAAGAAGGAAGGGAAGGGGAGGCAGTCAGAAACAACCCTCCCCAATTTGTCAGCCTGGAGAAAAGAGACGTGGAAAAATCTCTCCTTGCGAGGCTCTGTTAATGTAGCCTTACAATCGAAGCAGACGTAGCTCATCTGCTCCCTTTCCAGTCTGGCCCACCTAGCAAGGCTGGCTTTAAGGCAAAGGAGTAGCCCGATCCCGGGCTGTGGTGAGGGAACAAGAGGCAGCCTCATACGCGTGTGGAGAAGAGCCAACTGGCTGACTCAAAGCCAGCAGCAGCTCATCCCTCTTCTCAGCCCTGTATTAGGGAAGGGCTTCCACCCCAACCTCCTCCTCCTCCTCCTCTACCTGATAGTCTTCGCCCTCTTCTTCCTCGCTCTCATCCGAATCTAGCGACTTCTCCTTCTTCTTGGGTTCGCCAGAAGCCCCGGGGCCTCCTTCCTCTTGCTCCTCTTCCTCTTCCTGTGGAAAGGAGAAGCATCAGCAAAGCAGAACAGCGGCAGGGGAGATTACGGTGCGACCAGAACGGCCCGGAGCGATTTAGCTTCAGTCAACGGGGAGCCTGTTACTCTCTCTTGCTGCCTGGCGTGTTGGGGACGTTGAGAGGACGACAAGGGGGAGCCGCCCCTTCTCAGCCTAAGCTACCTTACTATCACCACAATTGGGGCCATATTGCCAGTCGTAAGTCGGGACACCCACAGAACTGATCCCAACGTTACCACAATTTTCGCGGTGGTCGTTAACGAACCACCGCCGTCATGAAGCAAAGCCACAGCCGCGAACCATTGTTAAGTGCAAACCCATTCTTCGGAATCGGCAATTTTCTCAGAAACCAGCCCCCCAAAAAATGGCTAAAAAATTGTGGCCATGTGACTGGAGGGAGCCACAACTAGTTGCAAAGGGCACGCTGGCTGCCAAATGCTTGAAATAAACCGTGGCAAGAAAGGGGCAAAACTCACTTAACAAAAGGTCTCGCTTAGCAACGAAAATTGTGGTCAATAAGTTGTGGTCGATAAGTCGAGGACTAACTGTACCTTGGGAAGGGAAACTGTCAAATCCAGCTTTGCTTCTTCGGTAACCGCTCGGCTTTAGTCAAGCATACCCTTGGCTAAACGTGGGCCTAAGAGTCTTGCTTTCTAACTGACCAAGCTGGGACAGCTGTCACAGGCCCAGATGTGCTGGGCTGCTGGGCCAGCACTTGGAAAGCTCAGCTCCTTACCTTGGCCTTCTGTTTCTCAGCCTGCAGCTGGGCATCAATCTCTTCTGGGCTTGTGTACTGCCGTGCTCGGCCTTTATGGCCCCCTTTTTTACCTGCAAGCAGAAAGTGGGTTTACGATTATTTCCTGCCCCCTCTTCCTCCTCTACGTTGTCCTGCTTCCATTGGCAGACAGGCTTAGACTCCCATCGGGGGAGTCTTCTCCCACATCAGCACCTCCCCCCCCCCC